ACACACACACACACACACACACACACACACACACACACACTAACTCGGAGAGAATCCTCGACACGTTCGGGAAGAAAAACATTAAAGTCCGCTTTAAAGATTTATTGTTGAACAGAAAGATCATGATCACAATAAAAACTGAACACTGTTGGATTCTCCATTATAATAATGAATCAAGATGAAAATACACACGACATCTTTTAATCATATTTAATCTCAACATGCAACGTTTCTTCCAAAGCAAGATGGAAAAACGTTCAACAATTAATAATTAGGCAGACACCTGAGAATCGACTCATCACATGATGATCAATGACACCGACAGCAATTTTGGGTGAAATATTGGCTTTGTGTTAGAGGACTGAGATCGCTCATTTGAGAGCTTCTCAGAGGAGCTTCCAGCTTCAGTTAATTGAGGAAACATTGCTGGAGTCGATCTGAGGTGACGTCAGGATTCTCATCTCTCCAGCAGAGACGTCAGATGCGCTTTGGCTCGGCGAGATTTCTCGATGCTCTCAAACGTGGGCATCCCCTGAGGAAGAGCCAGACGCTCGCTCTCAGACACCATGATGCTCTCGGCCTCCTCTGCATCACATCAAACAGCACTTTAACTACATCTGACAGTCACAACAACAGCATTATTCACATTCACCTCTGGGAAATCAAAGCAGGATACTTTTGGAGTAAAGCCAATCAATAATCAATCAGTCATAATAGAGGAAACAAAATGATCATCGGCGGGCGTGAATGACGTAACGTGAGGTCAAAGGTCACACAGCTGCTTTGAGTCGAGGTCACTGGGCCATTTATTTCTCCTTCAGACATTTAATCACTAACAACGTCATAAAGGCTGAAGATGAAACGGTTAGATATGAAATGCATTTTTACTCCAGATTGATGAGCAGAGGTTTCTGGGTAGTCTGGTTAAGTGTGGTGTTTGTTTGTACCCCTCATGCGGTGCATCAGCGATCCGTAGGCTGCATCCACCTGATACGCCAGGACGAAGCTCAGAGGAACCACAGGAGCCAGCAGAGCCGCTTTCCTCTTTCTGACGGCTCTGTCAACATACAGACACGCTCACAAGCACTCTCACACGCGTGTGAATCTCTGAACATGTGAGCAGATCAGACGCTCGCTCTCAATCATCGTTGATCACTGAATCCAATGCAAAATCAACAAAATGTCGAATTTTTTGGCGATCCTGCATAATTATTAATTTTACCACAATATAATCGCAAAAATTAAGGTCTCACAAAACTTATAACTATAATTATCTAACTGAATTATTCCTAATTTGTGACCCTGGAGCACAAAACCAGTCTTAAGTGTAATTTTTTTTTTTATTGAGATGTATGCATCATCTGAAGCTGAATAAATGAGCTTTCCATTGATGTATGGTTTTGTTAGGATCGGACAATATTTGAAAATCTGGAATCTGAGGGTGCAACAACATCTAAATATTGAGAAAATCATCTTTAAAGTTGTCCAAATTAAGTTCTTAGCAATGCATATTACTAATCAAAAATTAAGTTTTGATATATTTACGGTAGGAAATTTACAAAATATCTTCATGGAACATGATCTTTACTTAATATCCTAATGATTTTTGGCATAAAAGAAAAATCGATAATTTTGGCTATACTGTTTTGTCGTCCTATTGATAAAATACAGACAACAAAGACATTCTGCTGTTGACCACAAAAGTAAAAAGTCCCTATATTAAGCACTGTTTATCTTTGTGTTGCACTTATTTGTCCTGTTGTCATTTGTTTCTTTTCAAAATAAACAATTATGCGTTTTGTTTCTTCTTTTTCATGTATGATAATTGTGCATCCAAAATAATTTAGAATATGGTAAAAGTGCTATCCTAATTATATTTAAAAAAAAAACAGCAAATTTTTCGCAAATTTCTGGAAATTACCACCACAGAATCCGTCATTTTGAGCGCAAAAATCACGGGGAAAAAAAATCATGAAATCCTGGAGGGACTGGTACAGAAATAAACTCGTGTCACGCTCACCAGAGATCGGCATACATTACTCTTCTGGATCGTTCTGCATTCGCTCATTCTGTTCACTGTTCATTATTTATTTCACAATCAGAGCATTTGAGGATAGGAGTGCGCGATAATGACAAAAGATGCTCTATAGGGCTGTTACCAGTCAAATGAAATCAGTATTTGCAGTGCAGAGGAACAGAATCTGCATCTGAAGTGGCGTTTAGAGTCGTTCACACAGACTGTTTAATGCAGGACATGAATGCAGTTCATTTGCAGCTACAAATGTGTTTTGATGTTTTAAAAGCCAAACATTCAATAGTGATATTTGAAATGATTTGGGGGAATAGAACAGAAAATATACTTTAAATATACACCTAAAATCGCCAGTAGATGGCAGCAAATCACTGCATGAGCGAGTCATTGAGTCATTCATTCAACCGATTCGTTCAAATGGCGGATTGATTCAGTAACGAAACACTGCTGTGCTGTTTTATAAAATCATTATCACATTTGCAATCATACTACTGATATTTGGAGAAAAACGTCACCCTTCGTGTGATATTAACTATATCAGATATGAATATAAAAAGACAAAGTCATACGGGGCATTTTTTGAATTTTGGGGGAATTCTAAATGTATTTTAATAGACTAAATCAAACAGAAGAGTGTAAGCTGCATCTCAGTGTGGGTGCGCACTCTTGTGTGTTTCTGTTTGGTCTTTGTGATATACTCAATAATGTCAAATCGCATATCGTTTATACAACAATTACGATATTATCGTAGACGATATATATCACACACCCCTATTTGAGGATCAATGAAATAAGAACTAGGGTCATTGATGAAACACGAGTCAATGTATGGAAATCATTGTAAGACTATTCTAACAGCACATAAAAATCAGCACAGCAATTTAGGTATCAGAAACTCTGTGTGTGTGTGTGTGCGTGTGTGTGTGTGTGTGTGAGAGAGTGTGTGTGTGTGTGTGTGTGTGTGTGTGTGTGTGTGTGTGTGTGTGTGTG